CTTGCTTAAAAAACAGTCATGGTGCAATTTTTCTATCAGACTGTACTGTAAGATGAATGAAATTTCACTTAAGACTCCGCATAAGAGTTTGTCTGAAGTCAGGAGAATAAGATTCCAGAACAGTCCTAAAAACAGAAGGGAAAAAAGCTCAGAAAAACTCTGCTGTAAAACAGAACCAGATTCACTGATGGACATATTGTTGCCTGTGGCAGTAGATTATTCAACTATGATCTCAGTTTTTTTCCCCAGTCCTTAGCATAAGACTGTTACTGTAACAGCAGTATCTTAAAAAAAATCAGTATGCTATAATTAAAAATATTCTTTCAATTTTAGATAATGTGTGTGCAGTTTTAGTTAAAAATGGAAAGTCACTGCCTCTCAAAAGAGCATAGCAATTCTAAGTGAGAGAAAACACACACTCCAGAATGGTGACAACATCAGCACTAGTAAACCAGGTGGACTAGTAGAGGGGTATCCAAGAAATACAAGGGCTCTTGGACATCAGAGATCCAGTAAAGGGAAGATCTGTAGTACCTGTACCTCACACTGTATCTGTCCCTATCAGTAATACTTGCCAGTTTCTTACTTTGGTTTCTAGTGGGCTTTGGGAGGTTTTGGATTACAATGAAGTACTTGCATCAGCTCTAGCAACATTCAGTCATTCTTTGAGAATGCATGAATGGTGTTCAACAAGACATGAAAGACATGAAGTGTTCTACTGTTCCTCCATCAAAGACAACTTCAGTGACTCAAATGCTATTAATGATCTGCAAGATGGAGATATTGTACTTACACTTACTCAAAAGGCAACCTGAAACAATGTGAAACTGTTCTCAGAGGAACTATACATAAAGATGGAATTCCTAAGCAAACTGATGACCACAAAAATCAAGCTAAGCCAGAACTGCCTCTTTCCAGTAACAATGAAGTAAATTCAAAGAACAGAGAGATAAACCACTCTAATTCTAGCACATAAGGTGGCTCTGAAAAACTTAATAGTTTGAGGACAGAAAAATTTATGCGAGTTTTCGTCCACAGTGACAGACTTCAGAGCAAGAAGAAACTGACATTTTCTGTGCAACAGGTCCAAGTCACAGCTATAGACCGCTACAAAAGAATGTACAGGCAATAAGGTCTAAAGACATGAAATAGCCCCCAAACATATAGAAATATGCCATCTAATTATGACTCAAGTCCACAGCTGGCAGACAAAATGGACTCCAATGTATTTTGTGACAAATTGCAAGTGATGCTGGTCAAGAACTGCTAAAGACTGTATCACCAGTTCTATATCACTTGAAGCTTGAAGTGTAGCTTGAAGACAAAAATCCACCCATTCACTTGCAAATCACAAGCTGCAGGAAGAGAAGTAGTCAGCTCTGACACATTACCACAACATGACAAGCTCTGTTAGAGAACAACTGGTAAAGACTGCATTAGCTGCAGGTTCAGGAGATAATACTACTACTTTGACTGTACTTCTAAATGGATGTAGTAAGACACCAAATTACCTCAACATTGAAAAATTTATCCTAGGATAACTGGAGTGCCACAGTATATATAGGACAAGCTTATATTTAGCTGTGTTGTGAATTTACTTGTAATCACCTTAAGTGCTGACCCATACAGTAAATCAGACATCTTGTCTGAAACTGTGCAAATGCAGTAAAACCTTCTGAAACTCTCAATAAGAAACAGTAATCAAAAAAAATTTTTAAACCACTTTATTCAAACCTGAGCACCTCAATATAAAACTAAACACTGGTGAACTGTCATTTTCCTTGCTAAACCCAGATTACCGCAAATTTAAAATCTGCACAAGTAAGTTTCTAGCAGTTCAACATTTAAATAGACTAATTCATCTCTTCTGACACACTTTGTAGATTTCATATAATGAAAATAACTAAAAGAATTAGTGCAATATACTGGACTGATCAAAATAAAATGTACTTTGGAAAACAAAGTTGCGAAGTTCATTACTGACAGACAGCAGTACTTATGTTACAGATACAGGAGCATCATTTATTACTGTCCTAGCCATAAAGGAAGAACTCAGAACCCCCTTTGATTAGAGAGGAAAAAAGTTAGCTTTAAGTAACTGTACATTCTGTATACCTTTAAGCAACTCTTAAATATTACAGAAAGTATTAAACAAATGTAGACTACAATGCAGAGTACCTATTTACAGTACATTAATATCCAAATTTAAAATCAAGTTGGATGTACATAATTGTTAGTGCACTATTTTGTTTCCTTAGGGGAAAACCAAACTGTAACGGCCAGCAATGATCAGAAACAAGAAAGAAGTCACAGACACTGAGTTTGTTGTGGTTTTACTTGAAGAGCTCTTACAGTTTGTAGAGGACCCAAAAAAAAACAAACCAAAAACCCCATATCCTAAGTCACAGACTTGAATTTACTGGTCTGTACCCTCTGAACAGAGTAGAAATGAAGTTAAACTTGACTCATCACTAATTCATTAAGATCACTAACTGGGTTGATACCATTTACATACAGTGTACCAACTAAAACTCCACTTTCTGGCAAGCATAGGGTTTTTAAAATTGTTAATGCACATATTATTTGGAATTAAATTATTAAACTATGGAATGTATAACTAAACAGTGGATACCTGCAGAAACAACTGGTTGCATCAATACTGCAAGTAAGTTTAAGTAATTTTTAGACCCTGTTTCTAAAACGGTTTTAAAGCACAATTGAAAATTATGGAAAGACCCAATTCTATTTATTATAACAGTGATCAGTATTGAGGCTACAGGAACTGGCCAATCAGGTCCACAGAAAATACTTCTTCTACACCCCTAATAGTAAGTGACCTTTCAGCTGAAGGAAGTTTATTCCGCTTCCATCTCTCCTCTACTGCTGAAACATTACAGCCAGTGGTGGATACATGCATGTTAAAATTTTAGGTCAAAAGAAAACTCTGTATCATGAACTTGACTATTATCGTAAGTCTCTTCGCTGTTTGGAAGCTGTACTGGACCAGGTTAAGCACTCCAATTCCATGGTTATTAACAGTTAGGAAGCAGAAGAATATTCAGAACAGTTTAAAGCAATTGATCTTTTAGTTACTACAACATTGACTCTTGGGTGGTTGTGTAGGTTCAGTAAGGTCTACTCCTCTTCCTCTGACAGAGCTGGCTCCTGCATTCTGTGGTTCATTCTTGGGCAGTTTTTTTGCTGTGAGATGAACAGGAAATAAGAGTTAAAACTGAGCTTGTTCCAACATTAAATCACCTGAGTATGCAAAAGTCAACACATCATTACTGCATAAGCATATCAGTATACTCATGATAAAACCTGATTTGATTTGGTGCATTGGTAATAAAGTTAAGACACTTAACTTCTTAATGATTAACTACCTTATCTATGATTTTCAAGAGTGAAATGCATTAGTAACTTGAGCAGTAGAATATATCTGCACAGGTGTGCTATGCCAGTAAATGACAGCTCTTGTGGGAATCCACCCACAGAACAGGCTTTAAGATCAGGATGTTAGTGCAAAAAGGTACAGAAGCACTGAGAAGGCAAAAAACACAGACAGAAACGGGTCAAAATACTTCCCAGATATCCAGACAGAATAACTATTTGTATACAACATCTAAAACAGCCTTCAGCACTAGATGAAGCCTCTCTTCTTTCTTCCAAGCTGTCTCCTCTCTCCAGGTCTTATGAATCAACTGACTGAGATAATTTCTTTGCTGCCCTTGTAGCTCCAAGGTACCTCCTCAGTCCTGACATGAAAAATAAGGGTGACAAATGTCACCCTTCTGAGCAGTGGCTCCTCCTTGATTTGTCTCCATCAGAAAATTCCATGGGCATGTCTTGCACACGGACTTATCAGGACCCAAGAACCATCTCTACTCTACAGTTTGGCTGCATGCTTTCACTCCATTCAGTCAGTTTTTCAAAGAACAGCTTTTCCTAGAAGGAATAAAAAGCAGCCAGAGAACAAGCAGAGCACACACCAACATGTTGTGCTAGATAATCTCACTTAGTGCTAGGTAATCTCATCTAGGCTCCCCATCCCACAAAAGGGTGGGCCAGAGGGATTTTCTGAGGTCCCTTCCAACTTGAGCTGTTCAATTCTGTGATAAAACCCAAACTTAAGCTGCTGAGACAGTACAAAGGGACAATGCGCCAGTAGAAAAATGCTTTCAGAGCACTGTCATTTTGAATTCTAGAACTAATTTTTTAAATTGGAAGTTCTGAATGAGCTCTAAAGCAGTCAATTTACAAGCAGCTGTAGCTGTCGTCCCACAGTTCTGGCCCTGTTCACATTTTTCATTTTCTCCCAGTTTTGAAGATCATATTTACACATGGTCCTGAGAACTGCATCCACATTGTGCAAAAGGCCATTCCAAATTCCATGGAATACTTATAGCCTCATCGATATTTCCTTTGAGAGTCCACTGCCACACAGATCTTGTTCAGATGCACTGACAAAGCTGAATTTCACTCATCAATGTCAAAGAATACTCACACAGTTAACCAACACCACAGACAAAATACCTGTGTACTAATTTGGCATTGCTTTCCTCAAATTTAGTTTGTATGCTTTGCTAAAATATGGAGAGGCCAGAATTATTGTTGATATAACAAACTACAAAAAACAACAAAAAAAAAAAAACCAAAAAAACCCAAAAAAACCCAAAAAAAGAAAAAAAAAAAAGGCAGATTTTGGAAGTTTCTTTGTGTTTTTAAACAAGATGCAAACTGGGCAGATTTTGGAAGTTTGTGTTTTTAAACAAGATGCAAACTGCACTGTTAAACAGATCAATTCTGAAATTTCACCAGAACAGTGTAATTGAGCATTTCTGTATCATTAAATGCAGAGTATCTCAAATATTTATGAGAAAAATATACTTTTCACTCATACAGTTATGTGTTCGTGTCCATCCCCTCTCCCCAAGTATTTATACTTAATATGAAGCAAGTACTTGTTATAAAGTGTTGCTATAGTGATTATTTAATTTGCATCTGCTGGAAGTCTGAAGCCCTCCTTTCCTGACTTGGAAAGCAGGAGATAAGGGCTCTTTATAAACATTTAATTTTAATAGCAACGTTGTTTTTTCACAAAAAGAAGAGGGTTAGAGAGGTCACTGTGGTACAACATGCAAAACAGATTTAATGAGGTTATTTGATGCTATACATTACTCTTACGCAGTAGCAGAGCACCTACTGTGATTAAGGCTATTACTAAATGCATTAGTGACCAGCTTGAAAACTCATTCTTTCTTTTTCCTCCACTTTCAAAAGTTCATAAACAACTTCTGGATTTCAGAGAGCTGCATTTAAAATCCAAACAAAATGAAACAGATAAAAGGGCCTAAGGAAATTTCAGGGCCAGAAATAATTGAGGTGAAAATCAAAGATCTTGGATTAGGAAGATTGTGACGGTCTGAGTCTGATGACCACACTCCCCCTTAAGTCCTCAGTTTGTTCATAAACTCACCAATTGCCATGAATATTTCATTTACATTCATAGACGTTTTGGCAGACGTCTCCATGAACAATAAGCTGTTGTCATCTGCATAAGCCTGTGCTTCCTGCAAATTAAAATAAGAATACATTACTTCATTTAAAAAAAATTAAAAATCACATAAGCATTACACATTGTACTTTTATTGCTACTAAGGAACAATTTCTACACCACTGTGAAAGCAAGACAGTTTGTTGAAACACTCATGTGACAATACGTTATTCATCAGCTATGGACAAGTTACAATTCCGTCAAGAGGCTAAACAATTAGAAACGCAATCTTAAAAAACCCTTACTACTCTTAAAAATATCCTGATAGAAAAAATTCAGGCAAAACTAAATAATAGATGAAAATAGTTATGAAAAACAACCCCAATCCAGAACACTAGCTGTGAGAGCAAGAATCAAAAAGCTCCAGAAAGTGCCATCAAATGTCAGCAAGTCTGTGATTACCCTGGAAAGAAGGCTAACAGTGACAGTTTGTGAACTATCTTGAATCTTTCAAGCACTGAGTCAGGTGGACTGGAACAGTTTCATTCTCCTGACAAAAATTCACAATTATAACAAATAAGCAGTATTAAATATTTTTCCATGTTATCTCCCTTTCAGTATGAATTTTGATCTGACACACTGCTTGTATTAAGTTTACTATTTTTACCACTTCCTATTCGCCAATTCAGCTGAGAATCCCCAGCTTCTGATTATGTAACTGCCTCTGCAGTTACTGAAGGAAGAAGTCTGCAAAAATGCCAAACTACAGAATACCTATGATGAAAAAAATAATCCACAGAATTCTTTAAGTGACACCTGCTAAGACCTATGTAATTATATCTGAAATAACACACTAGCAAATACCTAGAAATCTCAAATGTGATTTGCAATGACCAAGAATTGGCAAGCCTGCAAGGAGCCCATTAATCCACATTAGCAAAACCTCTAACATTTGAAAAATATTAACATTGTAATTGTTCAAAAAACAGTAAAGGTAGGCCTACTTAGACAGTTACATTTGGTTGCATTTTTTACTGCAATCACACA